CTCTGTAGAGATGCCAGCTACCCTGACACCCTCACCAAAGCTAAACAGAATGATCGAGGCAGCAAGTAGAACCCCTGCATGGTTTATACCTCAGTTCCTGCCTCCAAGTTCCTACCTTGAGTTTCTGCCTTGACCTCTCTCAGGGATGGACTGTTACCTGGAAGCTCGAGATAAAATAAACCCTCTGCTCCCCATGTTACTCTTGATTTTTATCACTACGATAGAAATGTATCTAATATATTCCAGTTCTAGGGGATCCAACACATGCTTCTGGTTTTCATGAGCACTGCTTACATATGGTGTACATGTATACATTCCGGCAAAATACTCATGCACAGTAAAAGTCTTTTTAATTAATTAATTAATGTTATGTATGAGTACAGAGTTGCTGTCATCAGACACACCAGAAGTGGGCTTCTGATCACATTACAGATAGCTGTGAGCCATCAAGTGATTGCTGGGAAATGAACTCAGATCCTCTGGAAGAGCAGCTAGTGCTCTTACCCTCTGAGTCATCTCTTCAGCCCCATTAAGATTTATATTTTTGTATATGAATGCTTTATCTGCATGTGTACTTGCATTCGAGGAGAGAGTACCAGACCACATTATAGTTTTGAACCATCATGTGGTTGCTGGGAATTGAACTCAGGACATCTAGAAGAGCACACCTCTTAACCGCTGTGGTGCTCACATGTGTGCGTGCCTGAGCTTGTACACACACTACACACACTCACACACACACAGAGAAAACTCATATCAGGGTGTTCCTACACCCCTTAAAATCCATCTGTAGGGCAAAACTAGATCAAGAACCATGCCTGATGAGTGTATACATACTATGGACAAGAGGAAAAGGAATATAATAATGGGAACATGTGTGTGTGTGTGCGTGTGTATGTGTGTAGTGCGTGTAAAATACAAAATGAACAAAAATGACCCTAGCTGATGTCAAGCTGATATAAAACTAGCTAGCACAGCCTAGTCAAGATCCCCCTGGTAAAGGACCTACAAAGGGAGTTGGTACTTCTTATTGGATTTTATTAGTAACAGCACCACTCCCTATAGGCCAAGAATATTCAAACCACCACACACACAGTATAACCTTCTAAAATTGCCTTCTTGTACTTCTGAGTTGTTACATTATACCAATTTCATTATCTTATTTTAAAAACCACACATACATGTATCTGTGTGAAGATTTGAGCACAATGAGGGGTGCCTTTAGAGGCCAGAAAAGGGTTTCAGATATCCTCTAGCTGTGGTTATGGTTGTGTTCTGCTGGACATGATGTAGAGAACCCAGGTCCAAGTGGTACACGTTAACCACTACCTCTCTTGAAGATTTCTAGTTCTTGGCTGTCACAAAGTTGCCATAAATATTTGTCCACAGGATTTAAATTATGGGCATATATTCTACCTACCTGGGAATTTAATGGCTTAATTTGTTGTGTATAACTTCATACAAAATTGCCAATCTCTCCCACCCAACAGCAGATGGAAGATCCAGTTGTCTCACATTTGCAAGGACCCTGTGTAGATTACAACCTGCTTGACTTTAATACAACTGTTTTACATCTGAATTTAGTTAGTAGATACAAATATTTTGAATATGACTTGGAAATATTTGTTGTCTTTTAGTTTTAGTAAGATCTTCAAACAAAAAAACTCGATGTCCCATAAACATCTTCTTTTATAAGAGGGATATCTAAGAACCTCACGTTAACGTAGGTTAAAGAAGCTTTGGTTTCTTGACTCATCTTGTCCCCATTTAGAAACTAGAATTTTGCTACTCATTTTTGCCTTCAGTCTTTATACAGCAGCTATAAAGTGTCTTAAATCAAGCTATCCTTAATATTTTTAAACTGTCCTAGTTCTTCCACACACTTTACATCCGTTCTGAAAGAAGCAGTGGAAACTGTCCAAGTTGCTCATTCCTTTCTCAGACCATTTTTTACAGAAGGGCTACACTGTGATCCTTGCCGTCCAATCTGCCTGCCTGACGGGATTAAAGGTGTGAGCTTCTGTTACACTTTCTCCTTGAGAAATAGCATGGAAATAGTAAGCTTCATATTGGGAAAGATAAGAGCTTTGGTCACCAACACAGATGGGCACACAGGAACTAAAATCAGTTCCATACACTGGATTTAAGGTACTCTTAGGAGTTTGTAGCCACTGTACTGAAGGGCTATGTAGCTGGTTTAAAAAGGGGTGGAGCGAGGATCTTAGAAACATGTAAGACGCTATTGTATTAAGCTGTACAAACATGGGAGAAGGTTCTTCCTGGCTCTGGGAATCTGTTCTGTGGGTTATAACTCACCTCCCATTGCCAATACTAGCAGCTATACACCCATGACACAAGCCACAATACAGCCTCTGATCATTTCCATCATGAGGACCTAAATGCACTCCCTGGTAGGGTTGATCAATTAAGGCTGAAAACCTATGGATACTTCAGCTGCTAAAGGGCCCACCTTTTAGGATACATTGTACAAAACCTGCAGCCAGACCTGTGGTTTATATTCTTCCCTTGAGACAATGAACAACTTGAGACCAGCAAGGTTTAAAAATGTGAGGCACTCAGCTGGGCGGTGGTGGTGCACGCCTTTAATCTCAGGACTTGGGAGGCAGAGGGAGGTGGATTTCTGGCCAGCCTGGTCTACAGAGTGAGTTCCAGGACAGCCAGGGCTACACAGAAAAACTGTCTCGAAAAACAAAAAAAAAAGTGAGGCATTCAAAGGTGAGGCTTAGCAGAGATTGAAGAACGATTTTGAGCCGGTAAGTGCAGAAAAATACAGCCAAGTAGCAAGTGCAAGGCTGACATGGGGTTTCCTTCACCAATGAGCCCTCAGCAGCTACCTTCACCACACACCCGAGGTACAAATGACCAGTTATAAGGTATGGACTCTTCCTTGCTCAAACGTTTGTTTCACTGTGCCCCCCAGTTTACCCTGGCCCAAGCTCTCTACAACTATCAGAATGCACACAAATTGTGTGGGCTGCACCCCTCCCCACACACCCAATGCATTCTTCCTGCCTCATGCTTCCAAGTGCTGGGGTCATAGTCTCAAAAACAGGCAACATGACCCCCTGGAACACTGCATGCTCCACAAACACTGGAAATTATAAATTAGGAACTTCATAGACCTCTGATACTTTACTAAACTTGACAACTGCCAAGGAAGAGAGATTCAAGGCACGTTTAGAATATACTGTGCATGATAACACCGTTCGCTTACTGCAAGTGTTATTTCTATGCTGTAGCTGTAACAAGCCTCACTTACATTACAAAAATATTTTAGCAATTATCTCCTAAAACGTAAAAACTGGGGAGGCAGGAAAGTAAGACACAAAGTATTTTTTCGGAATATGAAAATTTATTACTGTGTCTCCATTGTCAAATTTTATGATCTCGGTCTTTCCTTCTTGCCCTTGTAAAGAGCCAAAAGAGACACGTTGGCTACTTTAACCACCTTAAAGCGGACGCCAGGGATATCACCGACAGCATGACCTTTGCGACCAAATCCAGCAACCAGAACCTCATCATTTTCCTGAAATAAAATAAAGTCCATCTTAGGTATCAGTGACAAAAGACATACCCACTTGGCAGATCAAATAATTTAAAAACCCACATAAAGCCATCCCCCCAGCAGGAAGTACAATTATAAGACCTCAATTATAAGTTACCTCAATGAAGTTCAAGCAGCCGTCATTGGGCACGAATGCTGTGATCTTCTTGCCGTTCTTAATGAGCTGCACCCTGACACACTTCCTGATGGCAGAATTTGGCTGTTTGGCTTCAACCCCTCTGCAACATCAATGGCACATGTGAGTAACAATGCTTTAAAAAAAAAAAGTCGAAGCAGTTCCTACTCAACCCAGTCTCAAATCCTGCAGAAACCACCATTTCCATTAAGTTTTTCCAGGCAAAACAGAACTTCTAGCTACATTGGAGTTAAAAAAAACGAGGATTAAACTCTGATTGCTGAAGTTGTGAACGCTACACACGTATCACCAATACATCAGAAACACATCAGAAAAGAAATTTTCTCAACTCCAAAAAGAGCCTAAGAAATGTACCAGCTGGTTAAGGTACAGTTCCCACAATATACACCTTAGTATGTATTAATATTACTTTTATTATCTTCCATTCCTTCCAGACTACAGCTGAAATTTAAAACTTTAAACCACTTAACCCCCAGCCCTAACATAAACAAGGATACTTCCCATTCCTTCTCCCTGTAAAACGCCAAACAACCCAGGCTCACGATCTTTTGCAACTTTTGAAGAATTCGTTTGTTCTCAATTACGGTAAACTAACGTTTTAAGTGTGCAGCCTTTCACTTACACTTTTTCCAGCACAATTCCCTTTGCATGAGAGGCACCCCCAAATGGATTGGCCTTCAGGGCTGTGCCCAAGTGGGCTTTCTTGTACTGTTTATCATGCCACTTCTGGTCCCGTCGGTGACTGCGGAGCTTCCGGGCAGTACGGAGACCACGACACTTGCCTGGAAAAGAAACACCACTGAATCCTCCGTAAACCCTCCGAACCCGAGCTTCCACACACGATCTTCAGCAGGAAGAACTTTCACGCCAGAGTCCTGTGGCCCCTCTTAGCCCGTGGGCCAAGTACCCTCGAAATTCCCTAATGCGGAGATGCACAGAAATCCAGGCTGGGACCTTTCGGCTTATTTGAATTTTCAGTGCAAAGGGTCTGGAGCAGGCGCCCGGCAAGGCGGCTCAGTAGGCCGCAGGAACTCTTCCGCACGGCCACGTGCCCGCGGGAAGGCGTCCCTTCACCTGGCCCCCGCCCGAATACAGCCTTGACCCCCACTGTATCGCCCCACGACAGGCCGTATCCCGAGCTCTAGGGCCCTCCAGCGGCCCCTTAGCCCAGCCCCGCACAGCTCACCCATCTTGCCGGCGCCACGGGCCCGAGAGAAAGAGAGAGGCGGTGCAGGAAGCACCCACAAGGCATTGCGGGAAGCTCCGCCCAGCCGAGGACCCCGAGCGGCCGTCCGAGCAGCGCCTGTACCGGTTTGTGTGGGGGAGTGGGGTGGTGGGGTAGTCTTTGGTAACGACTCAGTGCCTCCACTTTTCTGAGACACTGTCTGAGTTTTATTTAATATTTATCAAATGCAAAGCGATCTCCTTTATTTCCTTTTCAGGCAAATGATAAGGATACAGGAATACGGACTACCAATCCCAGAAATCTTTGCGCTAAATATTCATTGCGCAGGCGTTCCCTGCAGCCTGGCGCGCAGGACTGGGCGGTGCTAATTTGGAGAGGGCGGAGCGGGGTGGGGCAGGACAGAGCGGGAGGTTCCCGGCCTCACTGGGAGGTGGAGTCTTGAAGTGTATTTAGGAAATGAGGTTTGTGCTTACAGTTAGCATGCTTCACAGTAAATTGTAAATTTTAATGAGGCAATGATTCAGTGATGAAAAAAATCTAGTCAGGCTTGAGCTTTAAACAGAGAGCTGACATATGTTGGTTGTGCGTCTTTGCTTAGTTATAATACCTTTACAAACCCAATTGTTCTTGTAAAGTAAATATAAAGTTTTTCTGGGATGTTGAGTCACTTAACAACGAAAAATTTAATGTCTTTGCACTGGAGATTTGACAGTTAAAAGAATGAAGATTCTGCTCGTTAAGTTTATATTCTAGGTAAAGAAACAAAGTATTTCTATTTATAAATATAAAAATATCTTTACATACTGACAAATGTTATAGAAAAATGCAGTTTTGTAGCGCAGGGGTGTATTTTAAGAAGGTATCGCTGTAGGTTACATTTGAGCTGGGAACCTATATTTAGCGTAGGATACAGCCTTCCAGAAAGAGTGGTTCTCTGTCAGTTGAACTGAGAGATTTAAATGGGTCCGGAAGCCTGGGCGTTACACTGGGACACAGTACTTTAACACAGTAAAGCCTTCTGAAACTCCTCTGGCGACTGAGTGCCACTCTAAAGTTTTAAGCTGGGGGATTCTTAAATACTATTTGCGTTTTTCTGAGATTAGTTGTTGTAAAAACAGATGAGTCTGGGAACCATTTAAAAAAGTGTAATTGTAAAAGCAGGAGGTGATAGCGACTTGGACACTCAGGGAAGGTGCTGGCCTTACTGGATTGGTTTTACTGTTTTGCAGTAGAGCCAACAGGATTTTGGAGGCCCCGACCTTGAGTAAGAAGTAAAATTCCTGAAAAGAATGTGTCTGTAGAGGCTGATTGGGTGACTAGAATTTCGATTCTGTGGAGAGATTGGAAAGTTGTAGGTCCAAAAGCTAATTACCCTATCTTGAGCTCAGTTTAGCCCTCTGAACAGACTTTCCTTGCTTACTCTGTATTGGAACTCATATTGTGACAAATAGATAAAAATCTATTAGAATCTATTAACTTAGCAGACTATTAGCTTTCATCAATCCTAAAGCTAAGAATATCATCATACAGGGGGGTCTTGGGCCTATTAAAAAACATCTTCCCCATCTTGATGTGTCTACCTCTCTGGTGTACCCACCAATCTATTTTAAACTTGCCTTGATTTGTGAGTCTTTTGTTAAAACAAGAAAAACTCCATGAAATTGCTTCAACTGTGGAACATGGAATTTGGGGTGCATTAAATCTGTGTTCCCAGACCATGGCCACTCAAAATGGCTCCAGAATAGTCTCTTGCTCCTTTCAAAATGAGAACTGTGGCTTTTGTATCATCATGAATTAACTACTTTCCCCTTGATTTTGACTTGAATAATTGTGTTAAGTGGAAAGTGCTACAGAGGTGTTTTGTTGCTGATTTATTTATTTATTTATTTATTTATTTATTTATTTTGAGACACGCTGAAAAGACTGGCCTTGAACTGATCTTTCTGCCTTAGTTTCCTGAGTGCAGTGATTTGAACCACCATACATATACACATACACATATACATATGCATATATATATATATTTACCATTTCCTTTAATCCACTTTAATTAATCTCTATTCATATTAATTATTTTTCTTTTTTAATTGAATATTTTCTTTATTTACATTTCAATTGTTTTCCCCTTTCCAGGTCTCCCCTTCAGAAACACCCCATCGTATCCCCCTCCCTCAGCCTCTATGAAGGTGCTCCCCCACCCACCCACCCACTCCTGTCTTCCTGAAAGAGCATATTTTTAAGGGGAAAGTCAGTGCTCTCTTTTGCATTCACTCAGTTTTGCACCCAGGGGTGGGAAGTGGATAAGTAGACCTAAGTTCCACAAAGATACTGAACAGACATTGAAAACTGTGGCTCTGTGTGAAACCATAGAAGAGAAAACAGCACATGACCTTAAGGAGTGCTTGGCAGCAGGAGAAGAAACTGAAAAGAGCTATTTGCTACCTTCTTCCTCAGCACTGCTGTGGACATATTGGTACCTACTTCAACTTCCTCTGGATGAATGGCATGATGATGGAGACAACGGGTGCCTCCTATTTTGGAGATCTCTCAGAGACATATGAAGACCACCACGATGATATTCTCTCAGATAGATGGTTGGAGGTCAGTAACCTCCTTTGCAAATGTCCTGGTCATCGGTTGTTTGATAGCATCTTTTTAATTTGAAAAACAAGCACACCCTTTGCCTAGAAAAGGCCAGAGGCCTCCTGTCCTAAGAAAATTCTGCTACTTAAAGAGGCCAGCCAGAGCTATACAACAAAACAACTATCTCTTTAAATAGAGGTGTTCTGAAATAAACCAAGAGTCCCTTAGTCCACCCAGTTGACCACAGACTCTCAAATAAGCCTGTCTACTTTCTGAGTTCTAACTCAACAACATAATTTCTTTTCTTTCCTCTTCTCCATCTCTCTTTTTTAGACCCAGGCAAAATCCTAATCTTGACTGTCTTGACAGTCTGAGCATCTGGCTCCATTCATCGGCTCACAGAATTCCACTACTGAACTTTCCCTCCCCCACCTCTGGATAACTGCCAAGATCCTGAGCCCACCTGACCTGCTATTTTTTTTTCTCTCTCTCTCCCGAAGTCCAATAAAATTGTCCTGGAACTTCCTTCTGAGACTGCCTGTAAATTATTCTTATCAGTAAGACAAAGAATCTGCAAAAGGAGATTTTATATCTCCCAATGACAACTTTATTATTGTCTGAAAGAGTTAATACAGGCCAGGAACAGAATGGTGATTTCCAGGTGCTAGGTAGTGTAAGAGATCCAAGAGTTGTTTGTCAAAGGATTAAAAAACAAAACATAGCACAACGGTATTCAAGAAATCAAAAAAGAAATTCAGGGACTGTATAAGATAGTGTACTTAATAATGCTATATATGTTTAAAAGTCGCACTGCAGGAGTGGTACCCACCTTTAATCCTAGCACTTGGGAGGCAGAGGCAGGGGATCTCTGAGTTTGAGGCCAGCCTGCTCTATAGAGAAAGTTTTAGGATAGCCAAGTCTACATAGAGAAACCCTGTCTCCTTGGAGGTGGAGGGGGAAAAGGGGGTGTGGAAAAAAAAGAAAAAGAATTACTAAGAGTAGACTTTAAGGTACTTAGCACACACACAGTAGGCCTACTAGGTGATGCATATGTTAAATAGCTTACTTTAACCACTAACATATGCATCGCTATCTCAGCCTTCTCTGGTGAAATGCACATGATAACGTAGACACCACCTGTGTGGGGAACTTCTCTAAGACATATGAAAAGCAACATAACGTTATCCTCCCGCACAAAGAAATGGTTGACTATACTTATATACTCGAAATTTGTTAATATATATATACATATATATAGTTTAAGATAATATATAATTTATAATTATATAATATAAATATAAATATGTCATGTATTCTATGTCCTATATATGTCTATACAAAAATATACAATTTATATTATCATGTATATTTTACATTAATACATATTTGAGTATATATTATATATTGTATATGTAAATATATATTTGAGTATATATTATAATCATATATAATATATGTAATTTCATAATATGTAATATATATTTAATTGGTTAAGTGCTTTAAAAATAATTTTAAAAAATGATTTCTCTGATTAAAATGCATCACAATCTTGCATTAAAATTAAACTCCAGATATCTTTTTTTAATTAATCATTTTGTTCATTTACATTTCAAATGATATCCCCCTTCCTGGTTATCCCTACACAAACCCCCCATCCCATTCTCCCTTTCCCCCCTCTCCTTTGCCTCTATGAGTGTGCTCCTCCACCCACTCACCCACTCCTGCCTCACCTCTCTAGCATCCTCTTACACTAGACATCAAGCCCACACAGGACCAAGGGCCTCACCTCCCATTGATGTCAGATGAGGACATGCTCTGCTACATATGCAGCTGGAACCATGGATCCTTCCATGTGTACTCTTTGGTTGCTAGTTTAGTCTCTGGGAGCTCTGGGTGGTGCAGTTAATTGATATTGTTCTTCCTATGGGGTTGCGATCCCTTTCAGCTCCTTCAGTCCTTCCCCTAGCTCTTCCATTGGTATTCCTGGGCAAGAATCTTCATCTGTATTGGTCAGGTGCTGGTAGAACCTCTCAGGGAACAGCCATACCAGGCTCCTATGAGCAAGCACTTCTTGGCATAAGCAATAGTGTTGAAAACTCCAGGTATCTTAAGGGTTTAAACATCTACAACAATATTCATAAGAAAACAGAAATTGATATTTATTTAAACGTGGAGGAAGAAAAGAATTTTTGTAAAGAAAAAGAATTTGATCACTTACTATTAAGAACCACCATCAGAAACATCTGAAAGAGCTGGGGCGTAGCACTGTGGTAGAGCACTTCCCTCGCACGCACAGGGTCCTGAATTCAATCCCCAGCACTGAAACCAAAATCTGAAAGAAGAAGACTACCTCTGAACTGAGGCTTAGTGTTCAGTTGCACAACTGATGGTAGGTTGATACTTTAAAAAAAAATTATGCATACATAATGAGAAAATAAACCAGCAAGAGAAATAAATAGCATATCCCAGAAACAGAAGTAGTATATTCTGTAGCTTCTTGAGGAAACGTGCAGCATTTCTGACTGTGGCTGCATGTACCATGCTGGCCTTGAGCTTCATTGGGAAAGCTTTTCCTATTCCATCTTTAAGGGTCCAGGTAAAACTTAGAGGGTTGGTTAATATCTTAAGATCTATTTCATTTGTACTTCTGTAAATGTGTGTTTCTAGGTGTATGTACACATGAGTGCAGGTACCCATGGAGGCCAGGCAAGGGTGCCAGCTTCCCTGGAGCCGACGTTACAGGTCGGGGGATGCTCAGTACTTCCACTGCTTTGTGGTCGCTGGGAACCCAACTCCAGTCTTCTGAATAAGCAGCAAGTGCTTTTAACCACGGAGCCATCTCTGTAGCCCTGATTTGTTTCTTAAAAGTTTAGTAAATCACCCTGTGAAGTCCCCCGGGCTGGCGTTTTCCCTGTGGCAAGATTAAGTACGATGTTCGTCTCTCTATTGCTATAAAACTACTCACAGAGATGACTTGGATTTTGTTGTGAGTCATTTTTCTAGGAATTTAGGCCCACCCTCAATTTATCTGAGTCCTCAAAATTATTTTTTAGAGCTACAGGTTTAGGTGGGACAAATCTGTCCATTGTTACATTTAGCATACATATATGTAAGTCTATATGTGTGTGTGTGTCTAAGTGTACATATATTGTTGTAAGACATTTAATTATGCATTAGATTTCTTTAGTAAATATAATATTAGCTGTTTGGTTGTTTAATTATGCTTTGCTTTTGGTAGTGGGCTTAATTACTGCATTATTCTTTTGCTTTTTGTTTTCTTTGCTTTTTAAAAAATTTCTCTTTAGATCACAAGTAAAGCATGATTTGATGTTCATTGTGAGTTCTGAGGCAAAGATTGCCATGACTGTATCGGAGCAAGGCAAGAATGAGTTGAAGCAACCTGTGCCCATGCCTAGCTCATGCCAAAACCTCAGCAGGAGAGCAAGCTGAAGGGTAGCCTGGGCTTCAAGACCTTGCTTCAAAAGCAAAGGTGGGGGTGAGACTGAAGAGTGAACCCTTCGAAAAGAGGTCTCCACCACTTATGGATAGTGAGATACCAGGAATGGAGGAAGGCAGAACTGAATAGGTCCACAGTCCTAGCTGTGTCTGATCTGGCTGAAAGGCCTTGGAAAGGTTTCGGGTAAGAGTGTGGCAAGATACTCCCGTTTATGAAGGATCTCTGTGCCTACTCTGAAAGCACGCTTGTGGGAGGGGAGGGGAGACTTGAGTGAAAGAGAAAAGCCATTGCAATGACCACTGAGAAAGCCACCTTGAAAAGTGAGCAAGGTCTTGCGATTAGGTCTCTATGGTGAAGGAAAGAAGGGACTCCCCTACACTGGTGCTATCCTCTCCCCCTGCCTCTGAGGGCTGTTTGGTGTTTTTTACCCACCAGAATTATACCTGTGTGTTAGGTGCTATTATTAATTCTGTTTTACAAAGGTGGTACTGAGCTTAAAGAAGCAACTGGCTTAAACAGAATAGGCTTGTTTTCACATTAATTATAAAGCAGATTTTTGTTTCAAGTTTAGAAAAAAACGTGAACATTTTTTACTGAAGGTTATTTACTGAACGTTTTTTTACTGAACGTTAAATAGGCATAATTTAAATCTAGATAGAAAATAGGTTGCTAGGCTGTAAATACCTAGGGCAGCTGCAACTGAGTGATTGTGGTTGCTCTAAGTATTTTCATTGGGGTTGCTGCCCAACATCTCTGGTTTACTAAAGATAAAACAAACAAACAAACAAACAAGAGGCACCCGATAACAAAGGAGTTGATTTGGTGGCTCCTGTGATGCGTTGTGCAAGTGGCAGAAAGGAAATGAACAGTCTTTTCTTGTTTCCCGGTATTTTCCAGCCAGGAGGAGATCAGTTATCGACACTTCGTGTTTCTCCACTTCTACCTGCAGCTTAGTAGGGCTGACACGGGGGTAAATTTAAGAAGAATATTTTGGACATAGTTGGGGGCCCAACAGTTCCTCAATTCTTTCCCAGCAGGCCTCTCTTCCTGCTGAGAGCCGGGTGTTGGCATCACAGGCTGCCATGTCTGGGTCTTACAATCCACTCTACTTCCACACTGAGCTTTTCTGGGCCCTTTTAGTGATGGGGGAGGGAGGGTCTCAGCCTCTGCAGCTCCTCTCTTTGTCCTCTTCCCCAGCTGCTTTAGCACACAGGGGTGTGGAACGACATTTTTATGTCAGTACTCTGAGATAGTTGTCTCCCCAGCTAAGAAGAAAGATTTGGTTTTCGGAAAATAGATCAGGTGGTGAGATTTAGCTCAAGGGTGATGCCAACCACACCAGGGAGAAAGTGTAGCTGTGGGGGAAAGAGCCAAAGGTTTTAACAGTGCTGACAATTAATAGAGGAGCATTTAATGCAGTTAGAAATGACGCCGAGTGCTTTAACTATAAAAAGCGATGTAGCAGTTGCTATGGAAATGCGACAAGTTAAAATAACAGCTTTAAGTGAGAGCACAGAAGCAGCAAGGGAGGCCCCCTGATTACACGCTCCGAGTAACGGAGGCTGATGAATGCCAAGTGCTTCATTTTACCTGATTAAATTATTAAACATAATTTTTTCTCTTTATACAAAATGAATAGAATTTCTTTTCCTTTCGTTTGAGCTGCCATTCGGTGCAGCGATTATTCTCATAACTATTCCAAGGAGAAGCTAAAGAAATAAGTCTGCATTGCCATGTAATCTAACTAATATTCAGGCCCAATCTGTAAAAATCCTGTTATAATTAAACCTCTATAGGACCCGGGCCGATTGGGGGGAACTTGGCAATGCTGTTCTTTGATACCCTTTGTCAGATTCCCAAAAGGGAGCTCTCTTTTTAATATGCACATTAAAACTTACCCCCAGGTGTTCTGTAGCTTGGCCAAGAACCAAACAAAGGAAAATAGACTTCAATTTCAGCAGGGGCCTTTATAGGAAAGGTAATTTCCCTCCCTGCTATGGAATATTAAGTTTGTGAATGTCCTTCCCTGG